AATTGCATTGTTAAATTAAGATTTTTAGGGCTAGGGTTGGGGCTATGGTTAGGATTACGATTAGGGTAAGGTTTAAGTTTAGGCTTATTAGGGTCCGTGTGAGGTGCAGCATTTGCGGGGCGCGGCGCAAGCACGAGCGAGGGCCGATCATTGCCACTTGTGGCTATATTTATTATTATTATTATTATACATTCAGCAGTCAAAAATCCAAGATTTCTAGGCGGAAGCGTGGATCCTGTGTGAGCGAGGAGGACAGAGGCTGTTTCCTATTGGCTGTTCTCATCTGTGGGCGGGGCTTACACTTAACAAAGCAATGAGATGAGGTTTTGATGAGGTGAATTCTGACCAATCAGATCGCTTCCCTGCACCATTTCCTGTTTGTTGCTAAATTAGATCAGATCATTTTGGATCGATCGTTTCTGCCTTGGCACCTTGGATCTTTGCTGTGAATTGTTTTCACTCTCAGTTTTGATTGTTGGGTTTGAGGGTGTGTGGGCAACTTCAGTGGCATTTAAAATTCTAAATCTGATTAAATAAATGATCTTCCATAGGTTCATTTCTTTTCTGTCAGTGGGACTTTTCTTTTAGTCTTGATAGTTGCTCTTGTTTCGATACTAGTTTTAGTTTGGATCTAGGATGTGATTTTCGGTGCTTCAGATTGCAGTCTTCACCGGCACTAGGTCATTTTTTATGTTGGTGATCTGCCACCAGCTTGTTTCCATGGAGATATTATTGCTTTGTTTTGAATGTTCCACAGTATAGCATTATACTGATCTATCTTTCTATTATTAGTCCGGTTCCTTATATACTTTTGTGGGAATTTTTTGGGGATTTGCTAACCTATATATTTTTGGAAAGGGTATAGTAAATGGAGTCAGAAAATCAATGTTTGCATTTGCCCACATGTCTTTATGGTGGCCATATTGGATTTAAAAAAAACATGGCCACCAAAAAACCCTTTTTGGAATATCTCAGCCTCTGAATAAGTTGAAATGTTGATTTTAACTGAAAAATCCACATTTTCAGGGTCAGGGAATCAAATGGTGCTAGTTACAAACCTGTAAGACCTACCCACATTAACCCTTAGATGAATAAGTGGGTCAAAAATGACCCGGTTTGGTTGTTTTCTTGCAATTTCACTGTAATATTCACATGGAATACTCCATGTTCCTCCAAAAACATGTTTTTTTGTTTTTTTAAAATTATCCTGCTGAAATACATCAACAATATGGGTAAAACAAATTATAAACATCACATGCAGCTGGTCAGAAAACTCAAAGAGTTTAAAAGTAGCTAAAGTAGCTAACATAAAATTTGGGTGTTGGATGTAAACACACACATTTAGACACAATATGATTGCACAACTTTTTTATGAGACATTTTCTATACATCATCATTATCATCATCACTTTCATACAACCATAGACTGTATATATGAGTGGACAGATCTAACACTGTAGCCGCCATGTGCCAAATAGGAAGTTCTCCAGGAGGCTCTTCCGGCTCCTTCTGACTCTGGCTCCAATGGACTTACATTAGGATCTTGTGGCTCCTCTCTCTGTACCTGCTGCAGTGAGCCTCAACATTTTGGTCTTAAAATGTTTGTGTTAACCCACGACACATGATCCTATTCATAATATAGAGTCTGGCTCCAGATTGGCTCCTGTAACTGTGAACATCACAAGCCTCATTTGAGTGGTACTGAACTCTGTGGGTCACACTCACTTAGTCCACTTCTTTTATACAGTCTATGCAACAACATGGCTTGGGAATCATCGTCATTCTGGCACTGGCTGCTGCACTGACACATGTCGGCACAGGATAAACCTTTAGTTTCTGGTGTGCAGTTCTGCAGTCGCCTTTGTACTTGGCAGTGGTGAACCGTGGACCTGGACCCTGAGCCTTCATTAGGACCAACCGCTGCTATCATGACATCATTTATTTAAAGAAAACTAAATGAAGCAAATTGCACATGCACTTATTGCATATATTTGCTTAATAAACATTAGCTACTGTTCAACAAGATGGATAGATCCACGGCTGTCCGGGCTCCGAGCTCTGGTCTGGCCGTGGGCTCTGAGCTCCAGTTCTTCTGTCATCCAAATAGGGGTGTCCTGCTTGTTTTTTGACACTGCGGTCTCGCTTATATTTGCTATCACAGGGTATTCACAAGATGTTGTGGTATATGTGTGTGTGTGTATATATATATATATATATATATATATATATATATATATATATATATATATATATATATATATATAATGTGGCTACGGCCAAATACCTGCAAAGAGTGAGGCAAGTCCTAAGAATCATTGCTCAATGGCAAGAACAAGGCGCAGGTAATCAACAGCTCTGCCCTGCCAGTGATCAAATACCCTGCAGGAATCATAAGCTGGCCAAAGGAGGAGATACAGACCACAGATGTTAAGACACGAAAGCTCCTGACCATGCATGGAGGGTTCCATCCCAATGGCTTGAGAGGGTCTGAAGGACACACAGAGGCTCATTCTGGAGGTCAGGAGCAGGCCCTGGGCACTTGAGTAATAGAGGCCCAGATCTACCACACCAAACAAGAGCCACGGTGTAGACTGTGCAAAGAGGCTTCTGAGACAGTCCAGCACAGAACTACAGGGTGTAAGATGCTGCAGGGAAAGCAAACATGGAGCGACATAACCAAGTGGCGGGCATAGTGTACAGAAACATCTGTGCAGAGTACGGGCTGGAGACTCCAGGATCAAGGTGGGAAACACCTCCAAAGGTTGTGGAGAACGACCGAGCCAAGATCCTGTGGGACTTCCAGATACAGACTGACAGGATGGTGATGGACCAACCAGACATAGTGGTGGTGGATAAGAAACAGAGCAGAGCCATGGTGGTGGACATCACAATACCAAGCGATGGTAATATCAGGAAAAAGGAACCGCCTGTCAATCTCACATTCCGTCCTACCCTCACTCATGAACAAGACCCCAAGATACTTGAACTCCTCCACTTGAGGCAGGGACTCTCCACCCACTCGGAGAGGGCAAGCCACCTTTTTCCGGTCGAGAACCATGGCCTCGGATTTGGAGGAGATGATCTTCATACCAGCCGCTTCACACACGGGTCAAACTGCCCCAGTGCTGCAGGTCCTGGTTTGATGAAGACAACAGGACAACATCATCTGTGAACAGCAGAGATGATCCTGTGGTCCCCAAACCAGACCCTCCGGCCCCTGACTGCGCCTAGAAATTCTGTCCATAAATACAATGAACAGAACCGGTGACAGTTGCAGCCCTAGTGGAGTCCAACATGCACCGGGAACAGGTCTGACTTGCTGCCGGCAATGAACACAGCTCCTGCTCCGGTCGTACAGGGACCAGACAGCCCTTAGCAAAGGGCCCCGGACCCCAGACTCCCAGAGCACCCCCCACAGGACACCATGAGGGACACGGTCGAATGCCTTCTCCAGATCCACAAAGCACATGTGGACTGGTTGGGCAAACTCCCATGAACCCTCGAGCACCCGATGGAGAGTGTAGAGCTGGTCCAATGTTCCACGACCGGGATGAAAACCACAGTCGGATTCTCCTCTCCAGTCCCTGGCACAGACCGGGGAGGCTGAGAAGTGTGATTCCCCTGTAGTTGGAACACACCCTTCGGTCCCCCTTCTTATACAGAGGGACCAACACTCCGGTCTACCAGTCCAGAGGTACTGTCCCCGACCGCCACACGATGTTGAAGAGGCGTGTCAGCCAAGACCCACAACATCCAGAGACTTAAGGTACTCAGGATGGATCTCATCCAGCCACGGGCTTTATATTATGAATAGGATTTTTTTGATGGACAAAATAGCAAAAAAAATTAAAAAAATTAATCAGGATCATGTTGAGCGGGTTCATACAAACATTTTAAGACCAAAATGTTGAGGCTCACTGCAGCAGGTACAGAGAGAGGAGCCACAAGATCCTAATGTAAGTCCATTGGAGCCAGAGTCAGAAGGAGCCGGAAGAGCCTCCTGGAGAACTTCCTATTTGGCACACGGCAGCTCCAGCGTTAGATCTGTCCACTCATATATACAGTCTATGGTTGTATGAAAGTGATGATGATAATGATGATGTATAGAAAATGTCTCATGTGTGTGTTTACATCCAACATCCAAATTTTATGTTAGCTACTTTTAAACTCTTTGAGTTTTCTGACCAGCTGCATGTGATGTTTATAATTAGTTTTACCCATATTGTTGATGTATTTCAGCAGGATAATAAAAAAAGAAAAAGAAAAACATGTTTTTGGAGGAACATGGAGTATTACATGTGAATATTACAGTGAAATTGCAAGAAAACAACCAAACCGGGTCATTTTTGACCCACTTATTCATCTAAGGGTTAATGTGGGTAGGTCTTACAGGTTTGTAACTAGCACCATTTGATTCCCTGACCCTGAAAATGTGGGTTTAGCAGTTAAAATCAACATTTCAACTTATTCAGAGGCTGAGATATTCCAAAAAGCGTTTTTTGGCGGCCATTTAAAAAAAATCCAATATGGCCGCCATAAAGACATGTGGGCAAATGCAAACATTGATTTTCTGACTCCATTTACTATACCCTTTCCAAAAATATATAGGTTAGCAAATCCCCAAAAAATTCCCACTAAGGTCAAAAAATGACAATAAGGAACCGGACTATATTACTGAATTTTGAATTTTTGACACTATTTCCTGATCTGTTTTCTAACATCATTTCCTCATCACACACACACGGAGTTGTGTTTGTTTTACACATGTTTAACACACAAACCCTGAACATTTAGCACAAATTCTTCTTTCAAACAGAAACACTCTGTTCCACCTTGTGATGTCATATATTAATACAGGGAGTGCTCCACAGGGTTTTTAAACTCCATACACCTTCACTGGAATCACTCAGATCTGGAATTACCGATCTCTACGGAATTAAACATAAATGTATATATAGTTTAAATATTCAGCACAAACATTTTCAAGACCTCAAGTTCAAATGAAAGTGAAAGATTTTGGCAGCAAAAGTCCAAGCAACCGATCATATGTGAGCGAGGGCGACAGAGGAGGTCGCTTCCTATTGGCCTGTCTCTTCTGTGGGCGGAGCTTATAGTTGAGGAATCAAAGAGATGAGGTTTTGATTATGCCAATTCTGACCAATCAGAGTGGTTCCCTGCAGTGTTTTCTGGTTGTTACTAAGTTAGTCATCAACTGAACTTCAGAATAAAAATAATTCACACCTGTTTTTTTTTGTTTGTTTTGTTTTGGTTTTTTTTCAGAGTGAAAAATTCAACAGCATTAAAAGTCCAAATCTGATGAAACAGTAAGCAAGCTCCAGTCCTAACGCCAGGTTTGTGACCTGTGCAGAGTGATCAAGGAGGAGCTAAGGGAGGAGGTGCCTGCAGAGGATGCCCCACCCCTCACGCCACTGCTGACCAATCAGGTGCAGTCGCAGCAGGAGCAGACGGTGGTGAGGGAACTGGCCAAAATCATCCGCATCATCGGGGACAACGTGAAGGACAACCGGCTGCTGGAGGAGTGAGTGTGACCTCCTCATTACAGTCACTACCACCACACGCACAGAGACGTCCAGGGCCACGTCCATATCAGTCCAGATCAGTCCAGGTGCAAATCTGCATGTGCAAACTGAAACAAAGCATGTGCACTTTGTGGACATGTTGCACATCAGTCACTAGTGGAAAGAGCTCTGATGTTGAGTGAAACTAGTGATGTGATGGCTCTTTGAAACACTTCCTTAACATGAACAGTTGGCACTGAAACTCATTTTTTTTTTTTAAAAAAGGACTGAATCTTTGTTTTATTTATGTTATATGGATTTACAATAAACCAATACAAAGGCAGAGCAGGCAACATGAGTCAGAGCTTTTAGGGGGAAAAAAAATGTTATTTTTATTATTTAATAATCCTTGAATGTATTATTAGTGTAGTGCAGCATGTGAATGACATCATTTTAAAGAGTAAATTCACTCCCTCTCTGAGTCTGAACCATTTTAAACAGCCTGGGTCATTTTTTTGTCATTAGTTTGTAGATAAAATTAGATTTCACATTGGCTTCTGTCATATAAATAAATCATAAAAGAGCCAGTCTTTTGAACGGCTCTTTGAAGTGAATTCAACCAAAAGATTCCCCAAAGTCCCATCACTACAGGATGTGACTGACTTTTACTTTCTGTACAGTGAATGCTTAAAAAAAAGGTTTGCTGTAAAGACAATGACAGATTGTCTGTCACAGGGGTATGGCCTGGGGGCAAATGTGGCCCTGAGACAAATTTTTGTTGGCCCTCAGACCTCCGGTTGATGGGGCACAAGACTTTTTAAGTTGTTACAGTTCTGTAAAAGCTATGTCACCTGCATATAAAAAGAAAGATTGGCTGTTTTGAGCACGTGTCTGTGGCCCTGGTCTGTCATGAAACCATCACACATGTAAATCTTCAGCTTTTTTAAAGAGCTGAGTGTATGATGAGGGCACAAACCCAGTGTGTGCTGCGACCTCCATCACCTCTTCATATTCTCTTCATATTACACCAAACAAAGGGTGCCATGCATTTCTTCTAAATCTAAATGCAAAGTATTTATGCATAAAATGTATGAATGATCAAATTCTTTTTTTGACATTTTGATTTAATAATGTCACTGCCGAAACCATCTTCATATGTGTTTTTTTTCAGTCTGTATTGTCCAGAGATTGTAAGTAAGTAAGTAACTTATTTCTAAAGAGCTTTTCACAGACATTTGTGACAAAGACGCTTTACAGAACATTATTCATTCACTCCACACCCAGTAGAGGTGAGATACTATTGTAGCCACAGCTGCCCTGGGGCAGACACAGAAGCGCAGCTGCCGTGCCTTTTGGCGCCATCGGTCCCTCCGACCACCACCATGACTCACACACACCACTTTCATACTAGGCAATGTGGGTGAAGTGCCTTGCCTAAGGACACAACGACAATTGGTGCCCCCCCACGACACCTGATTTTCCCAGTGGTCTCCCATCCAAGTACTAACCAGGTCCTGCTGAGCTTCTGAGATCTAACGGGATCAGGCTTTGTCGATTCGGTATAGCCATACAATTGTCCAGAAATGAGATTTTAGATGGACAGAGCTCTTAGCAGGATTTCTCAGTGCATATTCAATCAGCCCTATTGTGCTTGCGTTTGCTTTATAGTTACAATCTCTCCCTGTGGATCATTATTTTATAATTTAGACTTTTTTAAATCACAATATTCATCTAAAATTACTAATAAAAGAAACAGATCCACTGACTTCCATGTTTGAAAACTGTGGTGTCCAGTGGGAGCTGACGTGGTCGTAAACATCATCACAACAAAGCGCCGTGTGTTATTCTCTGGATAGGCCGAAATGTAGTGTAACTCTTACTGTGTTTTGTCCCCTGGTGCAGTTCCATAGACGGGCTGCGGCGGGCCCCGGGCTCTAAGTTGGACCTCTTCATACAGGTGTCAGACAAAGTGTTCACACAGGGCATCACGTGGGAGAGGATTGCCGTGCTCTTCTACGTGGCCGGACGGCTCGCGGTCAAGGTCAGTCTGCACTGTTCAGCACAGAGAGGAAGACTCTGAGGCACATACAGCACAAACCTGGAATAACAAGGATTCTAAGACACACAGAAAGAGACATGGACATGATTATCCAATCAGAAAGCTGGATGAGCCTCACATGATGAGCCTCACAAGAGTCTTTCTTCTGGGCTCCATCAGTTGGTTTATAATAAAATGCCTCTTCAGCAGGTTAAGGCGCTGTCAGCCCAGGCTCTGTGTGCGAGAGCGTCTTGTTTTGCTTGTTTCACATTTCATTTCTTACACATGACCTGAGCTACGATGTGTCTATGCACAGGTATTTCTCTCAGTGTGGGGACTAAAATCTGTTCACACACTCACATAATGAGACCTCTTTTATGGGGACAAAGTCAGGTCCCATGAGGTAAATCCTTTATTATTAGAACAACAACGGGGTTTAAAGTTCCGATGAAAAAAGACTGAGGTTTTAGATGAAGGTTAGGTAACTGTAACGCTGGTGTGTGTGCAGCTGGTGGAGGCACACCTCCCTCAGTCGGTGCGGGAGGTGGTGCAGTGGACTGTGGACTTCTTCAGGACCAACCTGCTGGGCTGGATCCGGGACCATGGAGGATGGGTCTGTATCTGCTCACACGCATTTCAATGATTCATTTACAACTAGTATTGAAGTACAAATGTCACAGGGCTTTAGTTTTCACCACAGCAATTTTCTCTGTCTGTGCACGTGTGTGTGTGTGTGCGTGTGTGCATGCGCGTTTGTGTGTGTGTGCGTGTGTGTGTGTGTGTCTAGATCAGCAGTTTCTCAGAGTTGGCGGCTGCCTCCATGCACACAGTGAGTGGGTTCCAGATCTACGGCGTCCTGCTCGTCTTTGTGGCAGGACTGGCCCTCGGCAGTTTGGTCACACTCCGACTCATGCATCACCAGTGACCCTCACCCACTGACCCTCACCCACAGACCCTCACCCACTGACTCAGCCCCACTGAGTCTCACCCACTGACTGGTGAAGGGGAACCTAGCAACTGTGACTGTGGTCACTGATTCCATCCATCCATTTTCTTTCTCTTATCCGGGGTCGGGTCGTGGGGGCATCAGTCTAAGCAGCTACTCCCAGACTTCCTTCACCCCACCCCAGACACTTCCTCCAGCTCCTCTGGGGGGACCCCGAAGCATTCCCAGGCCAGCCCAGAGACATAGTCCCTCCAGTGTTCCCTTGGTCTTCCCTGGGGCCTCCTCCCAGTGGGACATGAACACCTCCTGAGGGAGACGTCCAGACAAATGCCCGAGCCACCTCAGCTGCTCCTCTCGACGTGGAGGAGCAGCAGCTCTACTTCGAGCTCCTGCCGTGTGACTGAGCTCCTCATTCCTTACCCAGACCTCATGACCATAGGTGAGGGGAGGAACGGAGATTGACAGTATATCAAGAGCTTTTCCTTTCAACTCAGCTCTCTCTTCACCACAACTGCTCAATACAGCGACCGCATCACTGCAGGTGCTGCATCGCTACATCCTTCCCTCACTCATGAACAAGACCCCGACATACTTGAACTCCTGCACATTGAAACCTTTGAAAGTGAAAGTTTTTGTAATGATGGCGAACAAATCTTTTGAAAAGCAGTAAATGAAGAGTAAATCATGTGAAATAGTGCAGAGGAGCATTCCACATGTTCTCAGAGAGCAGACCTGAGCCCCGTTCACACATCTGGACTGACCTGCATTTGCCAGAGCAGGGTCATGTGTGAACAAAGCACAGGTGATTTCCTTGCATTTTTGATCTTGCAATGAGTAACAAAAAAAGTTTACCTTCCACAGATTTTAGATTCTGTATGATGACTCGATGTACATCTTTAATAGAGTTTAGAGTTGGTTTGGATTTTTTAAGTTAAGAAATACATTTTTATAGCAATGTTTTACCATATTAACCCATTTATTCACACAAAAATATCCCAAATCATGTGTCATTAGTATCTCTTTGAAACAATCAGTCATATTTTTTTTAGAAAATTTCAGGGAAGTGTGTTTATGATCAGTCACATTTGTGACCAGTGGAATACTGTGTTGTATCAACCACTGGACAGACTCAATATAGGTCTGTTTGACCTGTGCAGTGTGTGTATGTTTGTGTGTCTGTGTGTGTGTTTGTGTGTTTGTGTGTGTGCTTGTGTTAACATATTTTACTCTCCTTTTCTTTGGGAGCTTTCTTGTTGTCATCCTCTTCTCTCGGCGCAAACAAGAAGTAAACAACTCTGGTCAATTTACAGTAAACATGTGACACTGCACAGATTTCATCGAGACCCTTTATTCTTTCAATATCTGCTGGAAATGCATTGATAGATCATTCAGTAACATTTTTATAGCCTTAGAAATTAAACTTTTTTTTTTTTTACTGTGCCGGTGCAATTAAATGGGTTGAATCCGTAGAGCAGGTGCAGTGCGCCCTCCAGTGGCCGCTAACATTTATTACACAGTCCGATTTAAATCAAATCATTTATGAGTGACAGGAGTGAAGTCAGTAGTGATCAAAGCCACGCCCACTTAAACACCATTTCCACCAGTAGAAATGTTGTAACTGTGTTTTAACAGTCACATTTACATTTCCTGGATGCGAGCTGTGTAACTGTGCAACTGAACTTTATTTGTGAAAGGACTATCTATTTTTCTTGCTTCATTGTTTATATAATAAATCAATAAAATGACCACAAAGACAAAGTAAAGTTTCAGTCTTTGCATCTGTTTGACGCGGCAGCCATTTAGGGACCACATCAGTTGCTGTTGCTCAAGTGACAAGGCTCCATGCAGCTGCCAGGATTTCTATGAATTTCCTGGTCACGAGTTTGGGTTCCTGGTCACGAGCTTGGGTTTCTGGTCAGGCTACATAGTTTGGTTCCTTTCTCATTCAGTTTAAATGATGGAGCAGTGTGTTGTAGGTCATGTGTGAACAGAGCAGAACCGTCATGGTTCTGGATCAAGTACATGTGACAGGGAGGAGGAGTCAGAGAGGAGGGAGGAGGAGTCAGGGAGGAGGGGTCAGGGAGGAGGGGTCAGAGAGGAGGGAGGAGGAGTCAGAGAGGAGGGAGGAGGAGTCAGGGTGGAGGGAGGAGAAGTCGGAGAGGAGGGAGGAGGAGTCAGGGAGGAGGGGTCAGGGAGGAGGAGTCAGGGTGGAGGGAGGAGGAGTCGGAGAGGAGGGAGGAGGAGTCGGAGAGGAGGGAGGAGGGGTCAGGAAGGAGGGAGGAGGAGTCAGAGAGGAGGGAGGAGGAGACAGTGAGGGAGGGGTCAGGGAGGAGGAGTCAGGGAGTGTCTTTGTCATATGAATGTCATTATTGTTGAAAAGGTTCTGAAATGTAATGTGCTAATGATGGATCCAAATGTCAAAGTGATTTGTGGGCGTCTTGTTGGGCACAGTGTGCCACAGTTTGTAGTGGTCCAAAGTTCTTTTTCACTTACCTTCTGCATTCAGAGTGTCCTAAAGCTTCACCACGATGAGTTTGCTGTGGTGGTAAAGCTAGCAACAATTAGTATCCTAACCTGCACTTCCTGATTATCAGACAATAAAATGCTTTTTTATTAGATGCAGACAGCACACAGCGCAGTCAGGAACAGGCTTTTAATTCAAAAGTAAGGATGGTCCGATATTGATTTTTGGTCCAGTATTCAATATTTGTATTGCTGTTGTTGCCAATAACTGATATTTACCCTACTGACATCCTGAGCAAACTCCAGGTTTATGTTACATTATTTATGTCCTAGATCAGGCAGATGGACTCTTGTGAGCTTCACGTCATGTTATAAAGCTGTTTCCTTCTCAAAACCACACCTGGACTTGTGTTTGTTTCATTCACACATGTTTGACAAAGTCTTTATTATTAGTTTATCTACATCTCCAAAGCTCCGAATGCTCTGTTTCACATTGTGATGTCATGAAGTGGTCAACATGACATGTCAAGTTAGCAGCTCCTTTTATCATTAGTTCAGTAGAAATGGGAATTTACAGGTCTGAAATCACCCACATCATTATACTGGAGGACTACACACTGGAGCACTTCCTGTATCGCCACATGACATACATTTTTATGGTGAGAGCCTAGCCTAAATGTGCAGGTTTGTGTGTTAAATGTGTGAATGAAACAAAACACAACTCCAGCTGTGTGTGTGTGTGATGATGACACAGATCAGATCAAATTGTGTAATATGGGCCTGTTAACTTATAGTGACATTTACAAAGGAACTTTTTGCTGGGGAGCCGATACTGATATCTGTGAAAACCCTCCAATATCACCGACACTGATAAACCATTATCAAACAAACCTTTTTTCATAATTTTGTACAAAGTTAATAGTTAAATTTTCTCAAATGATTAATGACACTTTTCTATGGAGTAAGAAAGCTTTCAAAAATATTTGTGCACATAGAAGAAATATGTGCGTATTTGGGAAATCCGTGCGTATTTGGCTGTAGTTGCGCATAAAATAAACATTTGTAAACTCTCAAATGAGTCCAGTCATACATAAAATGTGTTGTGTGTATTTTATCCATCAAAATACGAATTGAAAAGTTACAAAGTCAAGAATTACAATTACAAAAATATATAATATACGGGCAGCAGTAGCTCAGTTGGTAGAGCATTCGCCCACTGATCTGAAGGTTGGTGGTTTGAATCCAGCTCTCGACATAAACATCTTAGGTTGAGCGGTCAGATCCACTGACCCACAGGTTGGCTGGAGTGATTCCAGCTCCCACAGATGAATGCTGCCGTTGTGTCCTTGGGCAAGACACTTAACCCACCTTGCCCACAGTGTCTGCGTACACTGGTGTATGAGTGTGAGTGGTTTGTTGTTGTACACCACCTTTGAGTGCCTTGAAGGTGGAAAAGCACTATAGAAAAATGTGACCATTTACCATAGCCACAAGCGGCAATGATCGGCCCTCGCTCGTGCTTGCGCCCCGCACCTCACACGGACCCTAATAAGCCTAAACTTAAACCTTACCCTAATCGTGATCCTAGCCCAAAAATCTTAATTTAACAATGCAATTTTCAAAATTTGGCAAAAGAAAATATCCAAGATGGCGGACTTCCGGTTTGTAAAGGGGCGTGGTCGCAATGTACATTTTTGTTCTTATTGCCATGATGCATCTGGATACCAAATTTGGTTTGGCTACGCCAACGTTTGTGTCATGACAATTTTGGCTTGTTGCCATGGCAACACAATGTAAACGGGGTGTGAGCATCATTGAGTTTTTTAATCGAGACCATGTCACAAATGTGGGTGCCAAATGTTGTATATCTGTGACAAATAAAACTTTATTTTTACGTACAAATTTTCTAGGGGGCGCTATTGCACCCATTTTTGTATTTTCTTACACCAATCTGTTCAGGGTCGAGGTGTGAACCCACGGTTAAAATATGAGTGAAATTGGCCAAAGTTTGTGCAAATTATCAGGCGTCAAAGTTTGACCGTTTGATCTTTTAAAAAGCTTTTAACAAATTTTAATGTCACACTTGTCTAGATGATACAGAATGATTCTGGTGAATCTGGGTCAAACGCCCGAGGACGAGTTCGTTCAAATATGAGGACAGGAATTTGTGCCTTCGTCGCCAGGTCGCCCGATCAATCCAATATGGCCGACTTCCTGTTGGTTGCCTAGCAACCACGTAATATACTTTTTTGTTCCTATTCCCATGATGCATCTGTGTATCAAATCTGGTTTGGCTACACCAAAGTTTTTGTTGGGCGTCCTATTGGTGAGGTCAGATGTTTAGCCTGTCACCATGGCAACACAATTGGGAAATGGCATGGGGTCGTCCTACACTTTTTTGATCGAGACCATGTCATGAATCTGTGTACCAAATTTTATATGTCTATGACAAAGTAAATTTTGGCACTACCGTGCAATTTCCCTAGGAGGCGCTATTGCAAACATCTGAGATTTTC